GGAGATATTCAAGACCCGCCTGGACAAGGTCCTGTGCAGCCTGCTCTGGGTGACCCTGCTTCGGCAGGGGGGTTGGACTGGGTGATCCACAGAAGTCCCTTCCAACCCTGAACATTCTGTGATTCTGTGCTTTGGACAAGGCAGGGCTCTGCCAGCGGTGACTGTCACTAGCAGGGGCTGGAGCACCAGAGCTGCCTCGGCGCTGCAGATTGCTCCGGCTGCGACAGGCACAACATGCCTGGAGCAACAGAGATGGCAGAGTGCTGCTGGGACATGGTGGCACTGGGGACACGAGCTGGCTGCTCATTCTGGCCCTGGGAAGCAATGCCTGGACATTAGCCGGCGGGAGTCCACAGGCAAGAAGTCCACTGATTTCGACACAACTACCCATACTCAAGCACCTACACCACCAGCACCGCACCCCAGGGAGGGTGGGATGCTGCTGGGCGAGATCCCGCAGAGGGGCAGTGGGGGCAGCTCTCTGCTCTGAGCTCGGGCAAGGAGAGCCCCAGGAGGGTACTCCGGGCAAGGGGACAGCAGTGCAGAGCCAGCCGGGAGCCACACCGGCTCAGCATCCCCCTCCTGCCACCCACCCACGGCTCCTCTCCCCTCAAGGACTGAGCCAGCCAGGCTCGCGGGGAGCCAGGAAAGCACGGATTTAATGCAAAAAAAACAAGAACCCAAAAACAAACAAACAACCCACTGAAAAACCGAAACACCAACAAAAAAGGCAGTTTTACCGTGGCCTAGAAAGTGACCTTAGGAAAGGTGGGGAGCAGGAGGCAGCACCGGATCTGCTGGCAGGCGGGCGCTGCCTGCTCCGTCCCGTGCTGCCTGCCCGCAGCCAGCAAGGCGGCAGGGCAGTGCCCTTGGTGGGGCAGAGCCACAGCACAGCGGTCTGGGGGGTGGCAGGAGGCCAGGCGAGGGGCTGCTTGCTTCGCCATGGCTGCGAGAAGCCAGAGAGGCAGAGCCACCTCCTCCTCCTGCCAGCGGTGGGACAGCGGGGCACAGCAGCGCGGTGGGATGAGGAGTCTCTGCCAAACGCTGGTGGGTGAAGCAGGGGCCCTGAGCCGAGCTAGCAGAGGTGGAATCACAGTTAAACACTGAGCAGGTGCCAAAGCTCAGTGCTGGCAGCGTCAGCCTGGAAGCCATCCTTCCTCGATAGTTGCCTCCATCGCAGGCGCCTGCAGCAGGGCCCAGGTGATGCTCAGGTGATGCCGGGAGAAGATGCGAGCAGAGCCCAAAGGTCACATCTTGCAGAGGGGCAGTGGCTCGTGCCACCATCGCCCTGGGGACAAGACCCAGGAAGGACTCCTGGCTTTAATTCAAGAGATGGAACTTTCACAGGTACCTGGAAATGCCTTGCAAAAGCAAGTCTCTTGTCAACAAGGGAACTAAATGGAATTTCATCCTCAGCCAAGTAATTAAAGCCTGAGATAATTACAGGATGGTCCCGTAGCTATAAACCAAGCACAGATCCTGGCCAACACAGTGGATCTCCCGGCTTTGTTAGTAAAGAACTAAGCCTGTGCCCGTCACCACGTGTTCAGAGACAAACTGACTCGGTGCTTTTTGAGAGAAGACAACACGTGCCATTGACAGAGGTGTTGACGTAATGTATTCAGTCATCTGCAAGGCATTGGACATGATGGGGCCCAACTTGCTCATTAACAAAGCACAACGACACAAAATCACCACGGTGCAAGCTGAAGGGATTAGAGCGCAGCTAAGTGACTGGGACAAGAACCACCTTGGGGTGGGCAGAGGTCCAGGGCAGGGCATCAGCCCTTGGAGACAGGGGGATGAGGCCACCGGCTGCCATCCCAGGAGCCAGCCAAGAAATGCCATTAAGCTATCTCAGGTATTTTTTTTTATCTGGATGTAGGAAGAAAAAGAAATTGCCGCTGCAAGGCTCTGCAGGTGCACAAAGACTGGGAACTACTGCAGATGAGCAGTCCCAACCACAGAGGGACCCGGCTTCGCCTGTCAAGCTCTGCCTGTAGCTATGCTGTACTTAGGCGGACATTAAGGACCCCCTGAGGATGCAGGTCCCTCTTCCAGAGGGGGAAGCAACTTCCTGAGCCTGTGACCCCAGAAGGCACCCAGGCTCTCGGGGCAGCAGCATGGCCAGAAGGACCGATACAGAATTTCTGGTGCATGAAGAGGAAAACCATGGGAAAGCAGAGAAGGGCTGCTGGAGCTGATCGCTCAGGCCAGGAAGAAAGTTGAGCAATTGCAGAGAGCTCTGGGAAGGCTCAGGGAACAAGTAAGCGTAAGGTAATGAGTTGGATAAAGTGGCCAGAGCTGCTTAAATGAGAAATACCTGCACGGAGAACGAGTCAGCAGGGGGCTAACGCTGAGGCCAGGCATCTGCAAGACCACGGAGGCCAAGGGACCAAGAAAGCTGGAGGCGTGCAGACCCAATGCTAATCCATCCGGGCTTAATGGAGCCATGGCTGGGAGCAAGGGCACAGTGAGCCATGCCAGGAAAGTGTGACAGAGCAGGCGGTGCCACGGAAGATCGAGGACACCGCCCGGCCCGCTCCCATGCCCTGGTGTCAGGGTCCACCCCGGATCAGGTCGGGTCCCCACCCACGCTGGGGATGCTCCGGCACAGAGGGGCTCAGTAGCGCATCCCAGACCCACCACTGCCCCCGGGAAAGAGCGGAGGGGAGAACCTGTGCCACGGCCACTTGCGTCTGCTGCTGCTGCTGCTGCAGGAGCTGCTGGAGAAGTTGCATTTGGTGGTGGGCAGAGAGAGGTGTTCCCAGGTCAGGCAGCTGGGCAGACGAGGGCAGCAGCATCTTGGGCGATGCTGTCAGGATATCTTCAGGGTGGAGGCAGCCCTGCAAAACACCGGCGTCGAAAGTGGGATCCCATGCCCCTCGTCACGGAGAGTCGCCAAGCACACACGGGCTGAGGCACAGAGCAACCCCCAAAAACACTAAGGAAAGAAGCTGCGGCATTCAAAGCAAATGTACACTTTGCTGGGGGTGCCAAAAAACTTCACGCACAGCATTACTTCAGTTTTGACAAAAGCCCAAATACTTCTGTAGAAAACTCCCAAAAGGCTGATGCTTCCTATGGGAATTTCCACTGTATCAAAAGTCTCTTTTTTTTTTTTTTGATGTGTGGAAAAAAATCCCTATCTGCTCTTCCCCAGACACTTTCCGTGCGGCTGCACATAGCTGAGCCCCAGCATGGTGCTCTCCGGGAGCGCCCCGGGCCCCAAGCCAAAGGGCAGCCCCGCGGCAGCAGATGGCTTTGATCCGGAGCCGGGGAATGGTGC